GGAAGTGTGGGGACTCTTGTTAAGCAGGAGAGTGACTTATTCTGTATCCTCAGTGCATTGGGAATTTTTTGAAGGGTTTTTCAAAGCTAGGGGGTGACTTGATCTTATTTTTTAAGAAAAGACAACTCTGGAGAGTGAGCACAGTAGAGGCACGAGCAAAAGTAGAATGAGGGAAACCTGTTAGGTGGCTACTGCCGTAGTATAAGCAAATGATGATAAGAGCTTATATTAGAATGATAGTAGAAGAGATAATAACAGTAAAAATAGTTGTTAACATTTATATGTTACATAAATATGCCAGGCACTCCCTTTTACATTCTATTAACTCATTTAATCCTTACTTTACAGCAGTCCTATGAAATAGGTACTTTTGTTATCCTCTCTTTACAAATGATGAAACTGAGGCATAGGGTGGTTAAGAAACTTGTCCACAACTAGTAAGTGGGAAAGCTGGGATTTGAATTGAAGCAAGTCTGGGTATGGCATCCATGCTCGTAAGCACAACTTTGTCCCTCCTGTCTCGTGATCAAAATAAATGTATGTATTCAGGATGTTTTTCGGAGGTAATGTGTGGACTTACTGATGTATTCCATGTAAGGAGGGAGAAAAAGAGCAAAATAGAATAAAGATAGCCTCCTTGATTTTGGCCTGAGCAACTAGGTGCATTAAATAGTGCTATTAAACAAAATGCTGGTGCTAGGGGCTTCCCTGGTGGCGCAGTGGTTAAGAATCCACCTGCCAATGCAGGGGACATGGGTTCGAGCCCTGGTCTGGGAAGATCCCACATGCCACAGAGCTACTAAGCCCGTGCGCCACAACTATTGAGCCTGAGCTCTAGAGCCCGCATGCCACGACTACTGAAGCCTGTGCGCCTAGAGCCTGTGCTCTGCAACAAGAGAAGCCACTGCAATGAGAAGCCTGTGCGCCACAAGAAAAAGCAGCCCGCACTCGACGCAACTAAAGAAAGCCCGTGTGCAGCAACGAAGACCCAACACAGCCCAAAATTAATTAATTAATTTTTTTTAAATGCTGGTGCTATTAAATAAGCTGGAGAAGAATAGGTTTGGGGGAAAAGGTGGGGATGAAGGGAAATCAGGAATTCAGCTTGGGCCATGTTAATTTTTTTTTAATATTTATTTGTTTGTTTGTTTGTCCACGCTGGGTCTTAATTGCGGCACGCGGGATCTTCGTTGTGGCATGCGGGATCTAGTTCCCTGACCAGGGATCGATCCTGGCCCCCCTGCATTGCGAGCACAGAGTCTTAACCACTGGACCACCAGGGAAGTCCCAGGCCATGTTAATTTTGAGATTCCTGTTAGACAGCCAGATGGAATTGTCAAGCCTGGAGCTCAGAGATGTTTTAGGTGGATACAGAAATTTGGATGGAATCACATAAAACATAGAGGAGAGAAACAGGCCTTGAGGAATTCCAATGGAAAAATACAGGTATTTGTAAGGGAAAGAGTATGGGTTTTGGCATTAGAAATATTGGAAGAGTTTCTTCAGGTTTACTGATGATTTCCTTTGTATCCAGTATGCTTATAAGCCCATTGAAGGATATCCTTACCTCTGATAACATGTTTTTCATTTCTAACTTTTCCAATTGCCTTTTTTTGGGAGTTTCCATATTTATGCCCAAATTCCTCATCTGCACGTGTATGTTGTCTACCTTTTCCAGTAAATAGTTTAATATCTTAATCATAGCTGTTTTTCTATCCCTGTTTCATAATTCCAAAATCTGAATATTTCTTTTTTTAAAAATTTATTTTAGTTATTGATTTTTGGCTGCGTTGGGTCTTTGTTGCTGCACGCAGGCTTTCTCTAGTTGCGGCGAGCGGGGTCTACTATTTGTTGCGGTGCGCGGGCTTCTCATTGTGGTGGCTTCTCTTGTGGAGCACGGGCTCTAGGCATGTGGGCTTCAGTAGTTGTGGCATGTGGGCTCAATAGTTGTGGCTCATGGGCTCTAGAGTGCAGGCTCAGTAGTTGTGGCACACGGGCATAGTTGCTCTGCGGCATGTGGGATCTTCTCGGACCAGGACTCGAACCCGTGTCCCCTGCATTGGCAGGCAGATTCTTAACCACTGCGCCACCAGGGAAGCCCCAAAATCTGAGTATTTCTGAGGCTGGTCCTATTGACACCTTTATCTTTCGATGATAGGTCATTTTTGTCTTGGTTTTGTGCATCTCATTTTTTTTAAATTGAATTTTGGGCAGTGCATGTAAAAGAATGCTGGAGACCGAGGCAGGTAACCTGTATTTGTGGCCTGTAGTGGGCACACCTATTCTGTCAGCCAGCCCATCAGTGTTGGGGGTTGAGTCAGTCTGGTAAGGAGCTGGCTGGCTTTGGATTTTGCTGTAGCTGTTGATGCTTTCAGTACACCACTGGACTTTAAATGCCTGCAATGCTGGGCTGCCACAGGGTTTTTCTCAGTGTCCCTGTTCCATTCTCTGCTTTCAGCAGGTCCTACATTCCTGAGACACAGTGAATGCCTCTCTCTACGCCCTTTCTTCTCCCCCAGTGGTAGATTGCTCTTTCTTGGGGTTCCTGGTGGGAACAGACTGGTTTCTTGGTTCTCCTACTCCATCTCAGTATTAGGCAGGTTTTAGGCACCTTTGCCTCAGGGTGGAACTTTCTCAGTACTCTCCTTTTTATCAGTGCTAGGTCCTCAATATGAGGGGGTTTCCTGTCCCATCCCCAGCAGCAGATGGCTTTGCTTCTATCTCCCCACTAGCAGTAGTTACGTTACCCTGAATTGAGACTGTGCCCGGGAGGATTTCTTGCCTTTCTCTTAGGCACAGATGGCTTTTACCTCATATGAGAGAAGGGTCCACAGTTGTAGCATATTTTATGTCTGTTCCTCCACAGCAGTCATTCACAACCTGTATGCCTGTACCAGTGAGGAAGGCTCTTTTAGGCCTCCTGTCCTCATGCTATCTCATGAGCACTCAGTGGATGCCTGTAGAGAACTGATATGTGCTTATGGTCTCCTCTTTTCTCTCAGGCTTGCAGAGGTTTGAAACTGTCACGTTGGCCCCTACCAAGCCTTTTACAGTTGGTTAAAAATCTAGTTATTTTCTTCCTAGGCACTTTTATGGCAGTCGTCTCTTCCTCCTGTGCTTCGTCAATTGTGAAACAGTTTATTTCTCCTCTCTCTCCTCAGAGGGACTTTTCACCCTTGAAATTCAGTTCATTTGGTTGCCCTGCAACCTCAGCTCTCTGATGAACTCCAAAAAAATATGATTCTGTTGATTATCTGGCTTTTCCTAATATTTATGACAAGGGATAGTGATGTTCTCTTGTGGCTTTGTACATGCTAAGTGGAAACAACTCTAGAGTTGATTGTCTAACTGGACCATGTTGTTCCCTTTCTTTAAAAGTCCTTTCCCAGTCTCCCCTTGCCTTCAGGGTGAGGCCTAAACCCCTGACCCTGACCTGTCAGGACTTTTGTGATCTGGCCCCTGTCCATCTTACCAGCCTTAACTTGCACTCCAGGTGCAGGGATCTTTTCATATCTGAGCGAATCATTGTCAATGTTGTAGAAGAAATTCTGTTTGTGGTTTTTATTTATCAGTGCCTGAGAATCATGTTCCGTTCTTCTAAGATGCTTTAGGATTTTGTTATTTTTCTTCTGTGTATTTAAGCATAGATTGTGGCTTTGTGTAAGCAACAGAAGTGTTTGTGTATGTGAGGAAGGAAAGATCCAAGAAAATAAAATATTATTTACAAATTAGTTCCATTATTGATACTGTTGCTCTTGGCTACTGATTAAGATTGGCAAAGAAAATAAAATTGTTCCTGAATAGACCTTGAAATCCTCATCTTCATCTGCCAGATTGTGTGTAGCAATTGGAAGGCAGGTGTGTCATTTGTTAGTTCAGCATTTCACAACCAGTGTGCCAGAGTTGGTGAGCCAGATATTGTGACTGACTCTCTCCTAAAGTGGGTTGTCTTCTGTCACCAGCAGCCTCCTCCCTTTATCTGGAAGTGCTGTACAAAAGGGTTACTTGTCGTTTTCTGTGTGTGCCACGGCATGGAAAATGTTGGAATGCACTGGGCTGGATAATTTCTTACATCCTTCTAAAAAAATTTTATGACTATTCATAAGTTGGAAGTAAAGCAGTTGTAGGGTATTAGTAATAATTATAATTAGCAACTACCAGAGGGTGAATATATGCCAGGCACTTTACGAAACACTTTACCCGTATCCTCATTTCATACTCCAGCCAATCCTATGAGGTAGTTGCAATCATCAAAGACACTTAACCTAAGGTCATATAGTTAAGTGGCAGAGCTGGGACATAAAGTCAAGTAGTGAAGATCTGTGTTTTAATCATCATGATTTATTTCCTACATTATTAAGTTATGCGCTAGAAATGGTTCGTGGTTTCTTCTCTCATGTTTTTCCTCTACTTGAGCTTTGGGTACTTGCTCATAGCAGATGAATTGTTGGAAAATGACCTATTTGACCTATTTGAAAAAAGTATTTTCAAATGTTATGGGGAACATAAACACCTCTCTAAGCGAGATTTTCTGAGCACTGAAGAGAGAACTATGACCCCAAAATAATAGCTGTTATCACTTGGAAGGCAGAGTGATGCAGAGTGGGAATGTGGCTGACCAGTGCTCATGAAGTGCTCAAGTTAAGATGTGTAGATTTTCTTGATTCATTCATGAAATGATAATGGCCATTCTCTTATCAAACACCAATGCCAGAAACAACAGAGAGCAAAAGGGTCCCTGGATGCTGAAATCATTTGTTAGAGATTAAAGTTCAATACTAAGGTAATCTAAAAGCATCCTAAGTCATTGTAACCTTAAAGAGGATTCTGAATGTTGAGTGATATTCTTTCATGACCTTTCACATGGTATAGGATGCTGAGACAGTCTAAGCCCTAGAGGAGGAGAGGTCTTTTGCTACTGTTTTGACTTTAGTTTGAGGTATAATGAATGCTTTGTTTGGAATTAAGAATATTTATATTTATTTTGCTCTCTATGCTAGGTCGGTGATGTAGTAGAAGTACAGGCAGATGAAACCTTTCCCTGTGATCTTATTCTTCTATCATCCTGCACAATTGATGGAACCTGTTATGTTACTACTGCAAGTCTTGATGGGGAATCCAATTGCAAGGTAATGGAGATTAAACCTTGCCTAAACATTTTGAGCTCAGGATAGTTAATCATACAATACTCCATCCCACTGCCCCCTAATCTTTTATCTTATTTTTTTCCTGTTTGTGTAAGTGTTGTATTTGAAGACAGCTTTTATATAACTGTCTTTGAACTTCTAAGCAAATACTCAACTTTGGGGGAAAGGGTGGTGTTGGGTGAGGAAATCCACACCCCAAATAAAAGCCACCACATTTTTGATAGCACTGTTTGCATTTCATATTGACACTAACCCATTCAATATTTTATTTAGGCTTTTAAAAATGAAAGTAGTCTTAGGCTGAAACTATATAACTATGAAAATAACTTCACCCTAAGGTACTCTAACCTTACAGTTTGATCTGTTTTTATTTTTAAAGTGATGACTATCTTCTTGAAAAAAATGTTTATTCCTGGCATATAGAAAATCTAACCTGGAATGGTTTGATTGATTACTTTTTAAAAATACCTTAGGGTGTAGTTTGACAAATATTTGCTTTATTTCAACTAGGAAGAATTATAAATGTGTTAGAGTAAATTTGTTCAAACTGGGGGATAAGTTATGTCCTTGGTACTTTCCGGCACTGTCAGTTCTTGGCTATCATCCAGAGCTCCACAGAGCGTGAACATGTATCCTCTATATGCTGCCTTTAAGGAAGAATACTAATGTGCTCACCTCTGTGTTGTATCCTTGGGGGCTTTCCTCTGCTTGTTTATTCCATCTGGAGTTGAGGACCAGGACTCAGTATGTGGGAAAGGAACTTAAATGCCTGTTAGATAACTAATTTTTTTCTTCAGGGGCATGGTGATGAACTAGTCCCATTTAAACTACTGAAGAACAAAGTTGTATTTGAGGGAATGTCAAGATAAAAATCGAGAAATCTACCTAAAGATTTCCTAATAGGGAAAAAGTTGTTTAGAGGCAGAAAACTTTCAAGTGGTTTCATTTTCCAATTAAGTTGATCTGATAAATCAGCTAAAAGTACATAGGTTTTCCAAGTCAGGAGATAGTTTCAAATGTAGCTGAGGCAGATCCATAATATTCTCCGAAGACTGTGCGCAACAGCTTTCCCTCAGCATAAGTGGTGCAGTCTTTGAATCTGCATCAGCCCTTCTTTGATGATTTATAAATGGGTTCATTGGAGCCTGCCTTGAGTTCTGGGTCAATCAAGTAAGTACATAATATACATTAGTAGAATATTCTAACTGTCTGACTAAGGCAAGACACATCATCTCCCTGCTCCTTACGTAAATTGTAGCCACTCAAAGCATTTTCAAGATCATTAATTTTGCTGCTTGTATAATGGAAACTACTGATGAATTTTTTCTTTCTGTTAGCAAAAATGTTAGCATTCTTATGACCAAAAGGGTTATGTTCAATTCTTATGTGTATGTTAACATCACCATACACTATGGTGAGCAAAATAATAGGTCTCAGTTCTATAAATAGGAGAAAAAAATGCATTAAATTTTTCATGGGGTTTTCAGTTAATTATATGCATGCTGCAAATGGAATTCTCTCTGCTGTCAGTATCAAGAAAAGTTTTTAGTTTTCTCATTATCTTTGAAATCCCCTTGTAGCAGAGTTATCGTTCTAATTATTTGTAATATATTTTAAGAATAATACCATCAAGTTTATTTAGTTGGAAATGTGCATCAATATTTGTATCATTCTGCCAAAGCCTCTTACTAAAAACATACATACAGTGTTCATGAAATCAAGTGGGTATACGATTACACTTTTTTGGGGGGGGCTGTTTTTGCTTTTTCTTCTGCTTACATCTAGACACATTATGCGGTACGTGACACCATTGAACTGTGTACAGCCGAATCCATTGATACCCTCAGAGCAGCAATTGAATGTGAACAGCCTCAACCTGACCTCTACAAGTAAGAGTTACCTGGTTTCATTTTACTGCTGTCTGATGGCTTTGCTTCTCTTTGCCGCCAGTATTGCAAAGAAACACCCACCATTTACCAGCCTCCTTGCATTTGTGTTTTTATGAGCTGTTCCTTCCTTCTGGCAGGCAAATGAATCAAATCAGCCTTGTTCACTACCAGCCTAAGATAAATCATTGTGGGCCCAGGCATCTTACTTGTGGTTTTTCTTTTATTATTGTTATTTGTAGACATGGCCATCCATCACATTTTAAGATTATGTAATCCCGTAAGGCTGATCTATCAAACTCATGCATTAGCCAGAGTTAATTAAAACAAAAATAAACCACTTTACGTGTCATCCAACATTAAAGAGAGAAGGAGATATGGAGCCATGCAATTAGTAGGCACTTCGCCCTTTTTTATGAGGATCATGATGAACTGAGTATTGTATATAGGCTGTTTCTTGTCCAAAGTGAACAGTTAAGTTGAGGGAGCAGTGAAATGGTGTGATTTCCTCTATTTTGCTATAGTTAGGCTTTCTGGAGTCGATTTACTCATTCACAGTCATTGTGGGTTGTCCAAAAATTTGGCATTTGATTTTTAAGACTGGTTACTTTGGTTGATTAGAGCATGGTGTTAATGAGGATAGAATAATATGTTTTATCCCCAAGTGGGCCAATTAATTATATTCTATTCCACCTTTACAGATGGCATCCATCACTCATGCCAGCCATCTAGTTAATGAATGCTGTTGGTCATAATAGGGGACCAAATGGCGGGATGTGGCTTACAACAGTGCCCAGTAGTGGAAAAACAAAGTATTCATCCTACTACATGAATAATACCCTCCCTCCTTCCCATCATTCCTTCTTTCCTTTTTCCCTTCTTCTTCTGTATCTACCTTGATAGTAGGAACTTAGAATCACAAAGCAAAATAGCTGTTCCCTGCCTTTAGGGAACTCACAGTTTGCAAAGGGGATAAAACAGTAAAGCTAGGCTTACAGTACAGTGAGATAATGAAGGTGAGTAAAAGGCCCATAGAATCACAGAAAAGGGAGTGACTGATTTTGCCTGAGTTAGACAGTAATATACATCCTTGCATATTCATAGGGTAACTCCTAAATTTCAGTTACCTTAAATATGAAGGAGATTTTTAGTGAGGGAAGGTTATTCCTAATTTCTCTAGACTAGATTGAGTACCCTTGGTATGTGACTTCAGAATACCTTGTACTTCCACCACCCTAGCGGTCATCACTTACATTGTAATTGCCTGATTGTCTGTTTTAGGGCAAGGAACACATTTTTCTTGCTTATTAGCAAGCATAGTAATGGTGCAATTAATACATGATGAATGAATGAGCAGACCTTCATATTTTGTGTGTTTAGTAATAATCAATTTTTCTGAAAAAATTCTAATGTAAGTTATAAAATACTCATAACATTCTTGTTAAGGAGGATTTAGAGCTTTTTACCCTATTTTTCAGAAATGTAGATTACCATATGCATAGCCATATATCTGATCACTTGGTCAGATCAAGCTCAGTATTCAGATCAGCTGCAAGACAGTTTGGAAATTTCCAAGATGGTAATCAAGTGTTCCCTAATGCGGGTGGTTCTCAAACGGTGATCCCAGGCCAGCAGCATCACCATCGCCTGGGAACTTGTTGGAAATACAGATTCACATTCTTACCTGAACCATAAGCTTGGGGATGGGGCCCAGAAATCTGTGGTTTAAGAAGCCCACCAGTAATTCTGATGCATGCTCAAGTGAAAGAACTACTGAACTAATGGTTTTAAAAGTTGCTTTAGCACCAGAAACCTTTCTTCACATGAATGTGAAATAGAAACCAATTATTTATGTGGAGTATAGATGAGAGGGGTAATGTGTGCATGCACGGTGCCAAGTAGATCTTGAAAATCAATTTAGAATCTTTGTTTACATTCTTATAATCCATAATATTTTTAAAATTAGTTGAAAATGTTACATACCATATTGGTTCAACTTAACTTTTTTTAAAAAGAAAGACAATAGGTGTTCGTAGTTCATTGTCTTATCTCTACTTGCATTTTTTGTATTTTGATTCATTCCCATATTTGGGGCAAATAGATTTTATCTAGATATAGAAACACGTGTGCTTTTATGTTCTTTTTGCAGGTTTGTTGGCCGAATCAGTATCTATAGTAATAGTCTTGAAGCTGTTGCCAGGTTAGTTTATAATTCCTTTAATCTGTCCTTTTGGGGGGAGCAATGTTTCTCTTTTAAGCCCATTAAAATAGTTGAATACTTTCCTCTATAGAAAGGGATGTAAAGGTGAATAACCCTGGAGTAACTAGCCACTAATGGGTCTTAAGTAGCTGACCTTGTGATTGGTAGCAGCTCAGAGTGTGTGTGTCCTGGGAAGGGGGTGGTGTTGGAAGTGATGCTGAGGGTTTCTAAAATTGTAGAGCTCCAGACACTTTGACCAATAATCCCAAATATGTTCTAAGCACTGTATTTATTGTCCTTGGCTGTGCAGTGCCTGACAATATTGGAAGTATATCTGGAGAACAGTGTGTTAAGGGAGAGTAATTTAGGCAGGAGATAAAATGCTGGGAGAATTAGCTGGACTTAAGTAAAATGAAAGGTTTAATCATTTATAATGTAACAATTCACGGAACAAGGGGTGTTTTCTTCCCTCTTCTATCATCCAGTTAATTATCTCAACTTTTCCACTTGGCCTTTATAGCCAATACTCAAAAGGAGGTTAAAGAAACACCGGGTGCCCAATGATCCCCCGAAAGGCGTGTTTACTCTCTATAAATATGGCAGTGTGTCTTTCCCACCTTGACATTTGCTTTCCCAGCCTTTTACTGTCACCTTTTCTTTCTGTTTCTTGATGTCTGCTGTTCTGTCCCGTTCTTGTCTTGCTGTCTGTGACTCATAATCCTTTTATCTCTATGCATCTCTTTACCTCTGTGTGTTGCTGGCTATTCCTGTACTGTGTGTGCTTCCATCTGTGCTGTACCCTCAAGTAACTTCAGAGGGAAATATCTTTCAGCTGGTCCTGTGTTAGTAAGCATATGATATGAGTAAACAGATACATTCTGAACCTTTTGGAGACAGATGTATGTTAGGGCAAAATATGTCACCAAAGTTGATGGTGCTATTTGTTGGGCTGTTTGGATAAGTTGTGTTCATTTTTTGTTTAGGTCTTTGGGACCTGAAAATCTCTTGTTGAAAGGAGCTACACTAAAAAATACCAAGAAGATATATGGTGAACGTTTTTTAAGATATACTTACTAGAAATATGTCTTTTTTTTTGAAATATGTCTTTTAAAGCCTGTGCCTAAATAGTGCGGTTAAAAATTGAACATGGCATTTAATTCCATTTAATCTAAGCCTATTTTTAGGTGTTGGGAATTTATAAGATGGTAAACTAACTTGAAAACTATGACAAACTATGTAGAATTAAAATTATACTATAAATGATATATCAACTGGTGAATAGAAGAGAGTTTAGAATTCCTACTTTTATAGAGTGAAAGAATTGGTAGATCCAACTGGGTGGGGAGTTGGGTTGGCAATCTCATTGGAAACCTAATTTTCATCATATTGTTATTCCTTAGGAGTTGCTGTTTACACTGGAATGGAAACCAAAATGGCATTGAACTACCAAGGGAAATCTCAGAAACGTTCTGCTGTTGAAAAGTTAGTGTATAACACAATTTCTTTAGTTGTTATTGAACTGAAATTGTTACTTCTCAGTAATTCTAAATAACAACCATAAGCAAAAACAACATAACTTGTAATAGTGCTACCAGTTTGAGTACTTTTTGTGTTCCAGAAACTGCTCAGTGATTTGTATGTCTGATTTGGTTTAATCCTCTGAGCAACTCAGAGTAATTCCTGTTAGCCTGTCCACTTTATAGATAGAGAAATAGTCGTAGAGATGATAAGTGATTTACCTAAGCTCACTTAGCTATTCAAGGGCAGGGTTTAGTTGAAATTTATTCTCTTTTGCTGCTGGATAATGGTTTGGGGTCCTCTTGTTGCTATATGTAAGGAGGTTGTACAACACAGATAATAGTCTCCTGGCAGATATTGAAGTGGTACATGACACACACCTTCAAGCTAGTCGCCACTGGCACAGACCTCACTCTCCTGTTGGCATGGATATCCAGTGTATCAGTGATACCCTCTCCATAGCTGTACTTTCAGACTAAAAGAATCCACACTAAGCTTTCAGGTTTCACATTTGCTCCTCTACCCTCTATTCCAAACCTTTAGGATTCAGGGAAATGGAAACAATCTACTCCTTCTATAAGGATGGAGTAGGTAGTGTGTGTGTGTGTGTGTGTGCGCGCGCGTGTGCGTTCTGTCACTTTATAGGGTCCTTACTAAAGGTGTGTTGAGCCATTGCACTTTGGGTTGGGGCTAGGGCTGGCTTTTCCATTTTCCCACTCAAGAATAACGCGTTAGCAGTGATAACAGGTTCATCCATACAGGTCTGTGCTATGGTTACACATCGTACACAGGAGAAGCTTTAGAAAACTGAACAGTTTAGTCTATACCTGGTTGATATCTTAAGTAATTAAATGGTTTTTAAATCCATAACATCTTATTTTTCAGATCCATTAATGCCTTCCTGATTGTGTATTTATTTATCTTACTGACCAAAGCTGCAGTATGCACTACTCTAAAGTATGTTTGGCAAAGTACCCCATATAACGATGAACCTTGGTATAACCAAAAGACCCAGAAAGAGCGGGAGACTTTGAAGGTAATTTGTTTTATGCTGAAAATTTTAACCCTAGCACATTGTAACAGAGACACCCTTTATTGAAATGCTGCTCAGATAATGATACCTTTGGTATTTGGGTTTTCTCTTGGTTGTATGGTAGCCCCAAGCATTAACTGTTTAAGAAATGTTAGAACTTTTTGTTTTAACCCTAGGCATCTATCCTTGTTTTTAATTCTTTGGTTAAGAGTTTTAAGCAATTGGGCAAGAAGGTCTGACATGTTAATATATTATGAACTTGTGATATATCATGATAGGAACATAATGGGTGCCTACATTCATATTGAGGGGTGGGAGGAGCAGAGAACTTAAGGAAGTGGAAAGTGTTAAGTCAAGGTACATTCGCTGAAGAATAGTGACAAAATTCAGTGTGTTGTAAATGTTGTTTTCATGTACTGTGAAAATGTTTACCAATGGTACAGTGTCATTGGGAAGAGCAGTGCTTTCAGCGTTGAAATTAAAAGATAGAAAGTTTATATTACACTTGCTTGATGGAACTGTGCATATAATCAGCATGAACTATTTCTTTTGTTTAGGTTTTGAAAATGTTTACCGACTTCCTGTCATTTATGGTTCTGTTCAACTTTATCATTCCTGTCTCCATGTATGTCACAGTAGAAATGCAAAAATTCTTGGGCTCCTTCTTCATTTCATGGGATAAGGACTTTTATGATGAAGAAATCAATGAAGGAGCCCTGGTTAACACATCAGACCTTAATGAAGAACTTGGTCAGGTTAGAACTTATTTTTACTTAAAATAAGTTAACATAGTGAACTTATTTCTTGTAGTCTGGATTACCAATGTATGTGACCATTTCACATTTGGAAATGTGATTCAACGAAAATTCCTTTATGCAGGCATGTAACGAAGGCAAGCGATGTTTTCATAACTATAACGTCAATTATTTTGCTGGCATTTTGAAATCAGTGTTTTGAAAGAACACCAATTTATGTATTAAATTTGAACGTTATGGAAATTCTCTTTAAAACTCACCTGGTGGTGTTGCTAGATTATGGGCTATTGCTTTGGAACAGGAAACATGTAGTCTTCATCACCATCTGTAATCATTCAGGGATAGACTATGGGACAGTGGAAATAAAGCTATTTTATAAATGCATTTTGTTCTATAAACAAAATTGACCAGAGTTGTCCAATGGACATTTTCTTTGTACATTTCTGATCAGATGGAATATAGACCTAGAAAGCAGAGTTGTTTATTCCAGTGTAAGAATTTAAATGAAGGGAAAATGTGAGGGCGTGCACTCCTCTAAATGCTTTTTGCTTCATATACCAAGGTAGTCCAGGCTTTGACCTCGCTGCTAACCCAGGTTGTTTTCAAATGCAGTGCAGTCTAGCTGTAATTCTTCAAGTGATGACTTCTTTGGTGCTTTTCTTATCAGTATTGAGAAAAGTTTTTCCCTTTGTCTGAATTTACTGTGTGTCACGTAATGATCTTCACAAGCTGAGGGGATTTTTTGGCTTGCATTTAATTCTCTTGATATTTAGAATGTCAAGACTGTGGAAATATCATTTCTGTGACTGGGAGATGCAAATTCAGTTAATGGAACTGTATGGCTGGAATAGGGCCTCACACTCGTTTTGAATGGTGGCAATTTGCGCCTGTGCCTGAAAACTCTCCTGAATTCAGTCCCCCTCCACCCCCACTCTGTATTTCTGTTCTTTACACAGCCTTTGACTAAACCAGAGTACCCTCTTGACAACTACAGCCACAAGGGTGAAAGGACTCTCCAGATATCATTATGTTGAAACCTGACTCTAGGACTACAGGATCCCAGACTGTGGCATCTGCATTCCACAGAGATACTGAGTCACTAAGGATAGAATAAGCAATGAATGAACGAATGCTTTTCCCTTAGATATTGTTCCCAGAAGTTTCTTTTGTAGGTCACTTCAGCTGCCACAGCTGACCTTAGCCTTTTTAAACCAGAAGTTTTCATCCAGGGAAAGCTGAGTAGAACTACTGTAGTCCCAACAAAAGGTATCAATCTGCAGCTTTTTTGCATGGGAAAAAAAAAATGAGTTATAAGCCACCTCTGGTGAACTTATCCCTGACAGCTGATTTAGTTGACTAGATCTGCCTATTCTAAATCCAGTGCCTGGCTATATGGATTAAGCTACCCAAGGGTGAACATGGCTAGTCCCAGGCTACTGCAAATAGAACAGCCATCATTCCACATGTGGCACCTAATTCTCACCAGAGACAAGCAGGATATCCAGGCCAGATCTCCACCTCAGCAGATTCCATCTTACCTATGGGAACGTAGTCTTGTTCCTATCATCTAGACTTATTCACACTGCAGAATGTAAAGTAGAGCTTTGGGTAATGATGTAGTCAGTTTAATCAGTGAAAAGAAACTACAGTTTTCATTTCAGCCACCACTTCTTTCCCCCGCCAAAACCTGCTTTTCTAGATGTGACTGTCATTTAGTCACTTATAAGGTAATAACCAGACCACCACTTCAGTTTGTACAGTGCAAAAACAATTTGCCATCATGATCAGCTTACATGTGTAGAAACTACCTAAATGAAAATGCAAAGAAGTCTTGAAATGGTTTCTTAGGACATTTAGCATTTCATGGACCAGTATACACGAAATTAAGTGTAACCAGTTTCCTCCTTGATGAGTCATAATTTAAAATCTGTAGGGCTTTTATGTTACTTAAAAGCAGTGTCAGTTAGTTTCGATCAATACCATTGCAAACACTTGCTTAACCTCTTCCAAAGTGACCCACATTGGTATTAAAAAAAAAATAGGAAGATATGTTTAGGACAGTGTCGGTCTTTGACTTGAGAAACAAAAAGAAGTAGACTGCTCAGTTCAATTGTAAAAGAATGGGGTCTTTTATGATCAGACATCAGTCCTTTAGACAGCCAAATGGTTTCAACTTTGAAAAAATGGTGGGGATAGCCTCCTCCTTCATATCCCCTCCCAGTCTCGCAGCTGTGCCCAGTGGTGTGTCAGAGTATATCCTGTGATTCCAGTAATTCAATCCAGTGGTTATATATTAAACTTCTGTGTTATCTAAGATATGTTCTTGGCACTGGGGTTACTATTATGAGGTAAGCGAGAAACCCTTGAGTTGTTCAACATCTAGTTGGGGAAACACACATATCGTAGCCTAACTATAGCAATGTGACGATAATCAGAAAAATCAGGGAATGTGAAATGATGGAAAGAGTCTAGTACTGTGTGATTTTGGTCAAGTCAACAGCAGTGACAATCTACATCTGTATAACACTTACAAACTTATTTAGTAATCTTTACAGTCTTGTGCAGCAGGTTTGATTATTTAAGGCTAATATTTAATGTACAGAGAGATGAGATTTTTCCAAGGTCACAAATTTAGTAGGTGGTGGAGCCACAACTCTAGTCCAAGTTCTTCACTAGGTTAAACAATGTGAAATTTTTTGACCAATTTTGACCTGTAAACTAGGTGATTTCATATGCGTTCAACCTTTATTTTAGGGCTCTTTCTATTCTGAACAGCTGTCTCACTTTAGGCTTTCTATCCATAAATTGATGGCTTTGAGCTTGCTGATAGAGAAGGGCCTTTCCTGCAACTGGCTCAAACCTACCACTAAAGAGGAAGAGGCTGTTGAGAGTCAGAGGCAAGCAGTAGCCTCTGACTTGTCGGCCCGCACTCTCCTTTAAATATGAGAATACTTTTTAATAATAGCCAATCCTCTCCTCCCCTTGTTCTGAGTATAGGGCATATATTAGATCAGTGGTTCTGAAAGCATGATCTCAGGACCAGCATCACCTGGGAACTTATTAGAAGTGCACATTATCTAACCCCACCCCAGAGCTACTGAATGAGAAACTCTGGGGATAAAGCCCAGCGATCTGAGTTTTAACAAGCACCCTCCTAGTGAGTGTGATGCAGACTACAGTTTGATAATTACTCTATCAGGGTATAGTTGGTTGGCCTATACCTGTGAGATTAATTGTACACAGATCCATAGTGCACAAAATGTTATATATAGGCAAACACTTTATTTAAATACACTTCACTTTTATTTATTTATTTTTGGCTGCGTTGGGTCTTCGTTGCTGCGCGCAGGCTTTCTCTAGTTGTGGTGAGCAGGGGCTACTCTTCGTTGCGGTGCATGGGCTTCTCGTTGTGGTGGCTTCTCTTGTGGCGGGGCACGGGCTCTAGGCGCACAGGCTTCAGTAGTTGTGGCGCGTGGGCTCAATAGTTGTGGCTCTCAGGCTCTAGGTGCGCAGGTTCAGTGGTTGAGACGCACGGGCTTAGTTGCTCCGCGGCATGTGGGATCTTCCCGGACCAGGGATCGAACCCGTATTCCTTGCGTCGGCAGGCGGATTCTCAACCACTGTGCCACCAGGGAGTCCCTGCACTTTATTTTTTTAAGCTATTACCTTTGTCATCTATAAAAGATTTCGAAATGGGTTAATGCTCATCCAAGTGCAGGAGCCACAACAACACAGGACAACCTTCCGGGGGAAATGAAGGTTAATAATTTTGATCAGAATAAAAAACCGAAAGAATTTCATTTTAACTGGAAAAATCTAAATGATACAGGAATAATACCACTTGGATTAATTTAAAGAGAGAATTCAAACTTGGCTGGCTAACAGGAAAAACAAGAGAAGACTGGAATGCTATATTTGTGCCAGTGCTGCTACCGTGAAATGCTTTGAAAAATAATTAGAAAGCAACTACTGCTGCAGTTCATCTCTTTCTCCCTTACATAATAAAAACCTTAATCTTGTACTTATGCTTATTCCTGTCAGCCCATAATTTTAACTATTTAAGTATAAATTTCCAAAAAGGAGGATAAAATTGTGGGTCTCCAAAAGCCAGATGTTATAAATAGAAGAGATAAAAACTGAGATAAAATGAAAATGCTCAAAATGGCTTATTTTACATGGGAAATTTATTTCATAGCCTATTTTTTCCATTATTTATGAAAGTATGCTTATACTTTAGCCTATCATTATAAACTCTGCTCCTTCTTTTAATTTGGAAATTTTTTGGAGGAGTATCTGAAAATATACATAGTACGTGGAAGAAATTTCATTTATATTTTTAATCATCATTGACTTACTGTGTCTCATTAAGTAACATTATTTCCCCATCTGTCTATATTCTGTAACTCTTATATACATTCTATGCCATAATGCATTTTACTTCAATCCAGTATATTTATAGAAAATTTTACTTTTCAAAGAAAGGTTTTGTTACATCCCAGTTAGTTTAAGTTCCTATTCAATATGTTTTCTCTGTGTGTGTGTGTGTGTGTGTGTGTGTGTGTGTGTGTGCACGCGCGCACGCATATGTCAGTGTGTCAGAGAGAGAGAGAGAGAGAGAAATAATGGTCAGTAAATTGTTTCCCACTTGGAAAATTGACTTTTCTTATGTTAACTTCTTTATGTCAAAACAGGTCGGTGTTAAATTGAAGGGGTCTTAGTTTGATAAAATAACCACATTTTTCCTGCCTATTAATCTCCTACATTTGAGTAAGTCTACCTTAGACATGTGATACTATTTCAGTATCTTTAAAAATACTTCCTCATTTCTCATTCATCTGATAATATTACTTCTGTAATTACCTGACATTTGACAAGTTTTTAGAAAAGGTGATTTCTACGGATATGAGAATATCCTTATAGTTATGCCTTATAGAAAATTAATCACATTGAAGAAAGAATGCATATGTTTGTGTTCTTGTTTTTAGGTGGATTATGTATTTACTGATAAGACTGGAACACTCACTGAAAATAGCATGGAATTCATTGAATGCTGCATAGATGGGCATAAGTATAAAGGTGTAACTCAGGAGGCTGATGGACTCTCTCAAACTGATGGACCCTTACCGTATTTTGACAAAGCAGATAAGGTGGCATTTTCTGAGTTACCATTTTACCTTGAGAAATCAATTTATATAGGCATGTGTTAGCATAGTAGAAATTAAGGATTTGGGCACGTGACATAGACTTTTGAATAACCATCTGTTTGTTCTTTCAACTTCACCTTTCTTGTTTTATGGACAACTCTGGAATTTGTAAACAAGTAGAATTTATAAGAGAGCATTATGAAAAATGGCATTTGGGTAAAACTTAGGCTTGACTGTGTGATCATAATTTTTGGTGCTTTATCTTTAAAAATATGAGCTGCTCCAAGAATGATGTCAATTGAAATCATTCAAGTCCCAGCAGTGTCTAGGCATGAAATGAACCAGAGTCTCCCTGCACCTGAGCTATTGCCAGATTGTGAATTAGAATTGAATGAGCTCTTTTAGGCCATGGAGATGTCACTGCTTTGGTATTAGGTGGCACTACAGTAACCTGAATGAGTTAACATAGCCCCTAGGGTGTGTTAGCTGAGAACCAGGCATGTTGGTAGGGACCAGAAGAATATGTAGTTCATTTGAGTATTATGAATTTATAAATTTTTGCTACTCAGTTTGCTGGAGGTTATAACATTCTCTCACATTAATAACTTTTCTCTGTTCATTGACTAGTTACCAAGTGTTCACAGTGAAACTAATACAATCATTTTTCTGTTACTGTTCAATAGAATCGAGAAGAGCTCTTTCTGCGTGCCTTGTGTTTATGTCATACTGTAGAAATTAAAACAAATGATGCTGTTGATGGAGTTACAGAATCAGCTGAATTAACCTATATGTCCTCTTCACCAGATGAAATAGCTTTGGTCAAAGGAGCTAAAAGGTAAGCACGTACGTTATGCTAGATGAATAATTTCGAGAGGTACAGTTCTGCCTATAGTTAACAATATGGTATTTTTCTTCAAAATTTGTTAAGAGAGTAGATCTCATATGTTAAATGTTCTTACCACAAACAACAAAAAAGCAAAGGGGACACAAAGAACCTGAGAAATGTTGGGATATGTCTCTATCTTGATTGTGGTGATGGTATCACAGATGTATTCATGTGTCCAAACTCATCAAATTGCACACATTAGGTATTTGCAGTTCTCTATCAGTTATACCTCAGTAATGCTGTTTTAAAACCCAGAAATAGGGCTCCCCTGGTGGCGCAGTGGTTGAGAGTCCGCCTGCCGATGCAGGGGACGCGGGTTAATGCCCCAGTCCGGGAAGATCCCACGTGCCGCGGAGCAGCTGGGCCCGTGAGCCATGGCCACTGAGCCTGCGTGTCCGGAGCCTGTGCTCCACAGCGGGAGAGGCCACAGCAGTGAGAGGTCCGCGTACCGCAAAAACAAAAAAAAAACAAAAAAAACCCAGAAATAAGTTGTAGAAAATACATTAACATTTTTGAAGAGTAAAAACAATTAAAGTTCTTGTACTTCTCCTGAGAAAGCGAAATCACAGGAGGACAGGAGTTATTTTGTTCCTTCTCTTACTTGCTTCAATAACCTTATAAGTATCCTTATTCTTTAATAAGGAGCCAAGCTACTTTATCTGAAAGTTTGAAAAAAATTCCCAAATCTAACCAGTTAAGACCAAAAAGAAAATAGCAATGCATAGATGTAACTTGCATTACTATTTATGCATTCCAGCCAGAAGTCCAAATATTCATATTATAGTTCGGAAATCCTATAATAATGGCTACTTTTTGTACAACACATGTTCTTGCTGAAGTGCTCCTAGCAATTTTGATATCATTTGGTAACTGAAAGTCCTGTTTTATCCATGAAGCCCAAGCTAATTAAGTGGATTAAAGTCACCCCATGTGTTAGCTACAGAACTGGAATCACAAATTGCCTCTTTCTTGGTTACAATTTGTGACTGGACATTGACTTGCTCTGTGTTAACATCTCAGTGAGTAAAAGGAAGTACAGTTATAGATTGAGATCTTATGAAAGAGAAGAAAACAATAAACAAGTATGAATAATGCCAGTGCAAGAGGAAATTAATTATTCTTTAAAGATACACAAAGGTCTTTTTTATTGTGTTTCGCAGGTATGGGTTCACGTTTGTAGGAATGCGGAATGGTCATATGAGAGTAGAGAACCAAAGAAAAGAAATAGAAGAGTAAGTAGCGCTGTATGTTTGATGATTGTCACTTCTTAACCCCACAGTCCACCTTAGATGGATTTAGGAAGGGCAGCAGAGGGAACTGATTACATCTATAAATGTAGGACTCTGCTCTCCCAGTTCAGAGCTTTATGTAAATGTAGTTGGAGTAGGAGAAGACATTTTTCATAGAATGGCAGAAACTAGCATTTGAGGTGTAAATGATTCCAATTTTGTTCACATATGGGTCCAGTAGCCTGAATGAGCGTCTGCCTGGACTTTTCTGAATTTTAGATGCCATTTCAGGTCTCCAACACATGCTGCAAGAAAAATCAGTGAACAGGCATGAAACCTTCTGCTGTCCAGAGCCCAACCAATCATTCTGGGATTGCAAGCCCTGCCAGACATGGCAGCTTTGGAGTCAGAAGCTTTCTCTTGTTCTAGATGCTTGGGTGTGAGCCTCAGGGCAAGTACTCTGATGCAGCCATAGCTCCACATTTCTTTTTTTTTTTTTTTTCACTACAGAGACCCCAACAAACAAAACCACCTTGGCTTAATAACGGATTTTAATTAGCCCCTGTGATTAATTTGAATTCTTTATATGAACTTGAAATGTAATTGTCTGACCCCTAGCATCTCGTGAGACCCATCTCAGAAACGTGTAACATGTGTAGATGTGCTTAGGGAATATGCCCCTTTGGGAAGGAGTGTTCAAGAGCCAGAGGAACCAGAAGAAGGCTCTTTGGCCTGACTGCCAGGAGCCCCAGGTCATTGTCAAAGTCCAGATTCTAGCCGGTTCACAACAATGCCCCCATGTGGCCAACAACAAATGAGATACTGTGCTACAAGTAGATGTCTTATACATACACATCCCAAAACCAATGACCCGCTCACTCCCATCAAAGAGAAGCTTTGTAGTAAATACTTGTATACAAGTTATTTATTTTCAAGAAATTATTTCCTCACATTTTTTTCTAATAAGTCTTAGAAACTTTCTTCTTCATCCTTTCATCTGGTGAATAGCTTAGCCATTTACACACAAATCTGATCATGTCAATCCACTGTTTATACCCTTCAGTGGATTCCTATTGCCCTTAGGATGAAATCCCAAATCTCTGAAATGGCCCACAATGTTCTCAGGTCCCAGCCCCTGCCTACCTCTCTTGCTACTCCCCTATCAACTAGATCTCAAGCCTTAAATGAACTACTGTAAGTCCCCTCATGGGCCACGTGCTCTCATGTTGCTGTGCCTTTGCACATGCTCTTCTCTGTACTCAGAGTGCCATGATATCCTTTCTTCATCGTGTCACTCCTGCAAAACACAGCTCAGGCACCACCTCTTCCAGGAAGCCTTCCTTCAGATGCCTTCTGTCTGTGCTCCCACATCTCCCCTGTGTGTTCCTTTGTTACAGTATTTGCAAGACTAGGGGGTAGTCATCTCATTACCCTCTGTCTCCCTTATCATTTGGTAAGCGCCTTAAGGGAAGATGTGTGTCTCTTCTCCAGCGTCAATCACTGTGCCTGACACATAGTAGGCACTCCGTAGATGATTAAAATACTTGGCAGGGTGAGACTATTTCTAGACCCTCCCCAGATATAGCTTCGCAGGACAGCTCTTTGTTCCTCATTCCTATGCAGTCAGTCTCTCCTTACTATTTTAAGTTATATAATGAGAAGATATAGATAACCCTTAACCAACACTGGTATCCTCTGACAGCATGTTCTAAGCACAGAGAAATTCCAAAGACACAATGGAAGGCACCCGTTGTGCCCACAACTAGCAACCCTTATCCAAAGAGGAGAGCTCTGTTAACTTAAGATGTTTCTGTTGTGTTTTATCTTGGTCTAGGTATTTCACTTTTCTCTTTTTTTTTTTTCTATTAAAGGTATGAACTTCTTCACACTTTAAACTTCGATTCTGTCCGCCGTCGTATGAGTGTGGTTGTGAAAACTCAATCAGGTATGCATTTTTAAAACTTGACTTTTTCCATTTGTAGATTTGTATGTTGATCAACTACTTCAAGAGAGAAAAGCATTTAACGTAGTAGTGTATGATTACCGAAAGTCGTGCAAAGCTTTTGTATAAGCCTTAATGTATTTATACAAGCACATGTTCAGTTTGTCAAATTGTCACTGGCAGAACCCCTGGTATGACAATATATGCATTTTCTTGGAAAGTGAACTCTACCCCTCAGTCTTGGATGTCCAGACAGGAACTGAAAGGATGACTTTTTCACAGTTCAGGGTACTAACGAATCACCACCAATGCCTACCTGCAGCAGCCCACTACAACTGGATGGTTTGAGATTACTAGCTGTAGAATCTATGAGTGTAGAGAGTGCTGGTTATCCCTCTCTGACCTTCCTAATTCCCCACTGCTTTACACTTCCTGGAAACAGGTAAGCTAGAGATGACTAAGGGCCTGACTGCTGGGAAAGGGCATGTGACTTTACTCTAGCAGCCTGGGCTGTTTGTTTAACACAGTAAAGAAGCTTGCCCTTTGCAGGGGAAACAGTACCATCATTTCAGGGTTCCCCCATGTTCTTGGGAGGAGCCATGGTGACTGGGATGCCTTCTGCTCAGATTCAGCAAGACCCATGGGTACCATTCCTGCTTCGTTTGTGGGCTCTCATATTCCTCTGTGTGTGTGTGTGTGTGTGTGTGTGTGTGTGTGTCTGTCTGTCTGTCTGTCTGTCTGTCTCCAGGTGGTTTTCCAAAATATCCTTGATTTATTTTCTAGTAATTTACTTTTTAGTATTAAATCTGTTGAAAATGTCTTAGTATGAGAAGGGGAAGATTTAGACAGACCCTTCAGGGAATATATCCTACCTTATTCATACTTTGTGGTGTGACTGCAAAGTCACGATGCTGATTTCATTATATGTGAATGTGGAATTTGTTTTATGACTTTTAAACACATTGTGGCTATGTGAGAGAAAATTTTTTTAAAAACACCTAACATTTGGAATACTTGCTGTTCTTACCTGTATACATGCACGTCCACGTTCTACTGCAGATGGTAAGATGTCTGAGGAAGTGGTCTATCAAGGGCCTTGACCTCAGAGTTACCCTTTTTTAACTTTTTGAACTTAGCACTTTGCCTTATAAGGTCAGAGTGTCCTTTTTTTTTTTTTTTTTTTGCGGTACGCGGGCCTCTCACTGTTGTGGCCTCTCCCATTGCGGAGCACAGGCTCCGGGCGCGCAGCCTCAGCGGCCATGGCTCACGGAACCAGCCGCTCCGCGGCATGTGGAATCTTCCCGGACCGGGGCACGAACCCGCGTCCCCTGCATCGGCAGGCAGACTCTCAACCACTGTGCCACCAGGGAAGCCCCAGAGTGTCCTTCTTAATGGTACTGTCTACTTTCCTGGGTGCATGGACTGGTATAAAGCTGTACTTGTACTAGCATTCTACAGAGCTATTCTCCAGTTTCCGGTGAAAACCTTCAAGCTACTGTTTTAAAAGCTAATGTGTATAGTCTTTCAAAATGATTTTATCGTGTTTGAGCTTGAGTTTGGTCCTTGACATCTGTAGATGCCACATGTGAACTTTAGACCATGGTTGACAACATCCTCAAAGAGAATTCAGATGCAGCTCCTTGACACAAGCACCGTCTTTTGTGATTCACTTGAAGGAAGTTTCTTTTAACAGAGGTGCATGTTGTAAACTCTGAGATATTAATTATGTCTGTTGGTCCCAAGAGGTGGTGAATGTTGTCCTGACAGAGTGAAGGTCAAGATGGCTGCTTCCATTTGGATGAACATTCCAAGGCAGGCTCAGGATACACAGCTGCTGGGTGGGAGAGGCCACCTTAATAGTTATGTATTATTAAAATCCTAATTCTAAGTAAGTCAAGTACTCTGATTCTTTATTTTAGGAGACATACTTCTCTTTTGTAAAGGAGCCGACTCAGCAGTTTTCCCCAGGGTGCAAAATCATGAAATTGAGTTAACTAAAGTCCATGTGGAACGTAACGCAATGGTGAGCCTACACCCCCTCCCCCCAGTAGATAGAGAAATGCTAGAGATGACTACGTTTATGGATTGCTATTTAAAGGACTATTGAAATGAATTTTAGCTTATTTTTATGGCCTATTTTTATATTTGGGGATTTTGTAATATTATTTTCCTTATTTTAATATAAAACATCCTGGAGCAAGTTTCTGTTCAGAATTTGCACCCTTTGAAGACTTTTCAAGAACCTTTGTTTTATGTTCTGCTTTTTGTTTGTTTTTTTTCTTAACCCCAAGAGCTATTATTTTGTTATTCCGAACCTAATTGAATGTTAACGCAATGCAATCTGTTCTTTCTTTTTTTTCCCCTTTTTTAACTAAAAAGGAAATTAGTCACAATTTCTCTTTTGTGTGGTAAAGCAAGAGTATTTAAAGAGTGTGTTTTGTTTGTTTGTTTTTATTCATTATTTGGATAACTAGAGATCTCCTACCTTGCTTCTAGGATGGGTATCGTACACTTTGTGTAGCCTTCAAAGAAATTGCTCCAGATGATTATGAAAGAATTAACAGACAGCTCGTAGAGGCAAAAATGGCCTTACAAGACAGAGAAGAAAAAATGGAAAAGGTTTTTGATGAGATTGAGACAAACATGAATTTAATTGGAGCCACTGCAGTGGAAGACAAGTAACTAGAAAATGATATTCTTGTTATTTTAATGACCAGTCATTTAGGGTGGTATCTGTCCAGATTGGTAATTCATTCTCAAGTTTTGAAATCCATGATTCAGCTTTGTCTGTACATCAGATTTTGAACTGTTTGTGGGAATAATTTTTAAGTTAAACATTTGTGACTTAGAAGAATGAATCTGTCATCTCTAAGGCGTTTTGAGTACTTACTAAGCCACCCTTCATTTATGCAGGTATTTATGAAGTAGTCTTACTGTGCGTAGGAAGCTTTGTGCTAGAGACACCATTTGAGTTGGTGCTTGGTAGAATGGGTACAATTTTGAAAGACAGATGAGCAGAAGGGAAATTCAAGGTTGAGCAAACAACATGAGAGCTCATTCTAACCTGGTTTAACAGACTAGAGCATATTTTTGCATACTTTAAAATAATTTGCCCTAACCATACAGGCTGAGCTCTGCCAGACATGATTATAGGGCTCCAGAATTGATCTGCTTGAAAAAATAAGTTTTAGATTCTATTTTAGGAGTTTTCTAGAAGCTATGAATGCAAATTGTGAGGCTTAACCCAAACATGAAGTTATAAACATATATTCATTGGAAGGTATTAAAGTTCTAATAGAATTCATTTAGTCTAATTTCATTGTTATTCTCTGACCAAAAGGAATGCAAAGTATCACTCTTCTTCTACCCTTGCCTTTCAGAATAATGCTTAAAATCTCCTTCAGAATGGTTGGCTTTCCTAAACTTCCAGCTCCTCAGGGATGGGGATTCGCTAACTTTCTTCAATATCTCATTAGACTGTGTCTGGCCCTTTCTGTTTTGAACCATGTTAAGTATTTGTATAGTGAGATAGAAAACATAAACTTTCCAAACCTCATTGTTTGAAATGTACTTTAATAAGTAAAACTATGCCAGAAAGAGTATGCTCAGAAATGGTAGAGGATATATAAGAAAAACAACTGTTAAAACATGTCAGGACTCCAGAATTGCTATGAATTATAAGGACATTCTCTTTAACAAGCCTTCTTGTAGAATCTGTGTCAGGAATTTTCAAAGATAACAATGTTTCCTTTGTGTTTCCAGGCTACAAGATCAAGCCGCTGAGACCATTGAAGCCCTGCACGCAGCAGGTCTGAAAGTCTGGGTGCTTACTGGGGACAAGATGGAGACAGCCAAATCTACCTGCTATGCCTGCCGCCTTTTTCAAACCAGCACCGAGCTCTTGGAGCTGACCACCAAAACCATCCAAGAAAGCGAACGGAAAGAAGATCGATTACATGAGTTGTTGATTGAATATCGTAAAAAGTTGCTGCATGAATTTCCTAAAAGTACTAGAAGCCTTAAAAAGTAAGAAAGTACATCAATTCGTTATATTTAGACATTGGTACAGATGTAAATCACAGCTACTTATGCAGAAGGCTCCGTTTTCTGTAATTTATCAGTCTTTGTTTGCAGGTGCTTTATCCTTGTAAGTTAGAACCTTTCCTGAGGACTTGGCTAATGGCCCATTTGAGATTATTTGGCACTTTCCACCTCTTCTTTCATTTAAAAGAAAACCCTGCCCTCGTCATGCTTTAGAAAAGTGGTTCATTTTCTAAATACTTAGGGTCTGGGTACTTATCATTGGTACTCTGTCCAGGTCCATGTTAAGAAAAAATATTCCTTTTCATGGTCTCTTAAATTGAATGTAATAAAATCAGTCTCTAAAACAGTTTCCATGCAGGTCGAAGTCCTGGAGGCATTTTCTGTGTGAATTTTCATGCCCCAGTGCTCCAAAGGAGACCAAATACTTGATAGCATGGCCACTCGACTGCTTTCAACAAGCTGCTTAGGAAGAACCTGTAGAATCTAAGGTTCTCAAGGAAAGCCACTGATCCACAATAATTCAATACCCAGAGTTACATTTTCCTATACTTGACATTGACCAAGGCCTAGCTTTGTCTAAACCCATTACTGGAATTTACCTTGGCCGTAAGCAAATCAGTTTCCTCTTCTGGAATGCCACAGGATGTGTCTGCAGTAAATCCAAAGACCCGTAGATAATATTATTTCACATTTCTTAAGTGCCCTCTTTGTTCCAGGAACAACATTAAGCACTTTAAATTATTCTCATTTAATCTTCACAGCAACCCAGTAACACAATCTTATTTTCTTCTTGTTAGAAATAGGGAAACTAAGGCTCAGAGAGATGAAGTGATTTATTCGAGATAACACAGCTAATAAGGTGTAGAGCAAGTCTACCCAATTCCAGAGCCCATGCTTTTAACAACTATGCTCTATCTGTGTCCTCATCACTAGTGTTTAAACAGACTTTAAAAATGAATAGCCCACATTCATGAGGCTATGGCCAATTTTAAAACAGCTGTTGTTCTTCTGTTACTTGGACATCAGTGAGAGTAAACAGGTTTTTATTAATTGCCTATGATAAATGTTTCCTTCCTTTAACCAAATGGTACTTATAAAGGCAGTCCAGATTACATGTGTTTTACTTGCATTTATCTTAGTCTGCTCGGGCTACCATAACGAAATACAAGAGACCAGGTGGCTTAAACAATAGAAACTTATTTCTCACATTTCTGGAGACCAGAAGTATGGGATCAGGGTGCCAACATGGCCGAGTTCTGGTGAGGTCCCCCTTCCTGGCTTGCAGAATGCTGCCCTCTTGCTGTGTCCTTACTTGGCAGAGAGAGAGGAAGCTCTGGTGTCTCTTCCTCTTTTTATAAGGATATTAATCCCATCATCCCATCATAAGGGCCCCACTCTCATGACTTCATCTAAACTTATCTCCCAAAGGCCCCATTTCCAAATATCATCACATTGAGGGTTAGGGCTTCAACATGGGACTTCAGGGGGGACACAATTCAGTCCATAGCACCATTTGGGAGCCCTTGGGCACTTTTGTAAAAGCCAGGGCTTATAGAAAACTGAACTCACCATCTCAACATTCCCTCTTCCTGACTCATCTGGAGTTGGGTACACTCCTTCCCCAAGTTACACAAGCATCAGACACAGGATCCCTTTTGCCAGCTTCTGCTCCTTTGTCCCTTCCACTTCAAATCAGCCACCAAGCCTTACCCATGTCCCCACTCTCTCCACTGGCGCTCCCCATCAGATTCCTAGTAACTCGTGCCTCAGAGCACGTAAGCCCCTCTGCCAGATGAGTGGTCCTTAGGTATAAAGTACTGCCCATGTCACAGCCCTGCTCAGAAACCTTTAGTGGATCTCTATTACCCACAGAATCAGGTCGTACCAAAGGCCCCAGGTGACCTTTTCAGTTTATTTTCTTAGTGCACCACACATACATTCCCTCTTTTCTTCACCTCTTTCTGTCCTGTCTTTTAAGTTCCATTTCAGATATCATACCTCACAAAGAAACCATTGTTCTTTCCTGGTGTGTATTTATTGTCCCAATCACTGGATATTAACCTTTTTAAAAACATTTTTACTTTATATTGGAGTATAGTTGATTAACAATGTTGTGTTAGTTTCAGGTGTACAACAAAGTGATTCAGTTATACATATACATGTATCCATTCTTTTCACATATTAACCATTTAGTATCATGTTTGGTTGGGTATATTCTCTCATGTGTGCTTCTGTTACCCCAAGGAGATTTTCTATTCTCCAAAGAAAGATTAGTTAATAATCCTTTCCATTCTTCTATATGGCCTAGTTAGAGACCAAATATTACTTGATTGATTATTGAGCTACTGTTTTCTGCTCATTGTCAGCTCTGTGAATAGGGGAGCAAAGGAGAATGCATGATTGATATCTCTAATTAGTGAATAAAACATGCTCATAATATCATGAAGCAGAATATGAAAGGAAGGAAGGAAGAGGCATATTAGGCTCTCACTATTCATAGTCCATAGAACAGCAGCTCCATTATCACCAGAAACTTGTTAGAAATGCAAAATCTCATATCCCACCCCAAAACTACTGAATCAGAATGTGTACTTTAACAAGATTCCCAGGAATTTTAACAAGATTCCTTTAAACATTAAGCTTTGAGGAGCATAAAATCAGACAAATGAATCTATTGTATAACGATGAGATCCTGCTATGTTTAATACATCTACTGCAGCGGTTCTCAAATGGCACCCAAGATTTCCTGAGCAGAAATTGATTAATCGGTGTTTTTTTTGTTAATTGCAAAAAAAAAAAATTAAAATGTTAATTGGTAGAATTTTCTCAATTGTAAGTTTTCCCCCATATGTTTTTCTTAAATACTTGGCACCTGTTATATATATATACTTTTTTTAATAAATTTATTTATATTTTATTTTTGGCTGCGTTGGGTCTTTGTTGCTGCTCGCAGGCTTTCTCTAGTTGTGAACGGGGCTACTCTTGGTTGCGGTGTGCGGGCTTCTCATTGCGGTGGCTCCTCTTGTTGCAGAGCAGGGCTCTAGGCGTGCGGGCTCAGTAGTTGCAGCACACGGGCTTAGTTGCTCCACGGCATGTGGAATCTTCCCGGACCAGGGCTTGAACCCGTGTCCCCTGCATTGGCAGGCGGATTCCTAACCACTGAGCCACCAGGGAAGTCCAGCACCTGTTATATTTGTCTTTCCTGGCAACTAATACTACTTCATCCTGGCTATACAGGAGAATCACCTATGGAGTCTTTTAAAACATGCCTATATGTAACCAAGCCCTGCCCAAGATACCCTGATTTAATTTGTCTGTGGGTAAACCTAAGACATGGGCTTTTTTTCAAGCTGCCCAGATGACTCTCATGGGAAGGCTATGGTTGAAAACCACTAGTCTAGTATAAAATGATACTTATTTAAGGAACATATATCATTATTGTATGCTATTCTTTAATGAACACTATGTCTTTTTAGTAGTCCATCATATTTGAGAAGCCAGGTCTATGGATAGGTTTTGTCATTCGGGCAAAGATATTAAGAATATCTTCTGTGATTTGTATACCCCAAAGCCATTTTGTCTTTTCCCTGCATTGTTAAGCAGTTTTCAGATTGACTGATGATTTGTCTTCATATCAGAGTTTGATGGAACTGTAATTTCCAAAATTCACCTTGAGTTTCTTATATGGAGACTGGCTGCTAGAAGTCCATTATTTTTATATTTAGAACTTAGTGCCATCTATATGGGCAGCTTGAGTCTCAAAGATGTGATAGAAAGTCTCTGTTGTGTCATTAATAGGGTCGGTTGCTTCTTTAGAATTTACACGTCCAGGAACCAGATTGATGATAACCCTCCTCTGAGTGGTTTTTTAAAGTTCCTAAATAGCAATGTATAGTAGCTTCAAATATAGCATTGTTTTTCTTTTTCAGAGCATGGACAGAACATCAGGAATATGGATTAATCATTGATGGCTCCACGTTGTCTCTCATATTAAATTCTAGTCAAGACTCTGGTTCTAACAATTACAAAAGCATTTTCCTACAAATTTGTATGAAGTGCACTGCAGTGCTCTGCTGTCGGATGGCACCGTTACAGAAAGCCCAGGTAACTGAATGTTAGTTAATGTTCCATTCTGGGTACTTCTGTACGCATATGTGCAAATGTTCACTTTTAATTTTCTTCAAAGAGCCCTGAGTACCTTATTATATTTTCCCTGGATTCTTCCTCTACGTGGTCCAACTCAGAAGTCTTCCCACCGATTTGAATTAAACCTGTGCTTCACCTTTTTGTCTCCTCAAGCTGGCTGTCTAATTCCTCACCTTGCAGACTTCTCTAATGAGTGCTTGGTGCCTGCTGCCTTCATCCCACTGCTCCTGGCTCCACTCTTCCATTAGCCCCATGCATTCTTTCTTCTCACCTTATTCTGCTGCATCTCCTGGAGGAGAGCAGTGACCTCCTTGCTGAACCCGTTGTGTTGTCTTTCGTTTTCTCCTCATTTCTCCACTGCAGTTGACACTGCCAATTATGTCCTCCTTTAAACTCTCCTCCCTTGGTTTCTGTGATGGTCCATGATCCTTTTTTTTTTTTCCCTTCTTGGCAACCTAGTGTCTTTCTATTTTGTTTCATCCTGTGTCTTCTCCCTAATTGTCAGTTTTTTGGGGGGGGCTATGTCTTCCCTCGGCTCTTCACTTACATCCTATCTCTCTGGATAAGCACATCCATTTCTATGACTTCCATTGATGATATATCTCTCGTCCTGACTTTTCCTTTTTGTTAAGTCTCATATTTCTAGCTGCCTGCTAGACGGCTCTATATGGATTCCCCACTGTAACATTAAATTCTAGTATCCAAGACAGATATTATAATTTTCTCCTTCAGGCCAGTTTGTTTTATCCCTTATCTTTATTATTCCTGTTACCAGTGACATTTTTCTTTGGCTCCCTAAGTCTCCAAACTGCCTTTGATCCTTTTCTTCTCACTCACTCCATATATAGTCACCATGTCCTACTGATCCTACCTTTTGTCATAGCTCTCATTGTGGTGCCACCTTGTTAAACCTTTTATCTCCATCTTAGTGCAAGCAAGACCTTAGGACTTTACACACAGGCTATTTGATTTAATCTTCTCATTAGTCTCCTTGCTTTCACCCTTCCCCATTCCATCTCTTCCCCATACTCCCAAATTAATCTTGTTAAAACAGTACTTCCCCCATCATATATTCTCTCTCAGAACCTTTCAGTAGTTTCCTAGTCCCTTAGGATGAAGGGCAGATGACTCAATATGGTACTCGGGGCCACCCCTGTCGACCCTTTCAATGTGTCCGTACATATTTTGTGTCCACCACCACTCTCACGTCCAGCGAGAATCATCCACTCCTGTTGGTTGTTCCCCCTTTGTGTCCCTTCCACGTGCCATGCTCACACCAACTTCTAAAGCTTCCCTCATATAATTTCCTCATCTGGAATTCCCTCTGAATTCCTCTTGGCCTAACAAAAGTTTTACTCCTAATAAAACCCAATGCAGGGGCAATCTCGGGTGTCTTGTCTTTTCCAGCTCCTCTTGCTCGCATTGATCTACTTCACCTTGCTTCCTTGTACTCACTGAGTCTCGGGAACCTTAGAATCTCAGGTACACACCTTTTCACTTCTGCGTACACTGTATTCTTTTATATGTGTTGGTCTTGCTTCTTCCCGTTCCTCAGCTGCTTGCTCTAGACCTAGCGGATGGCGCTGTGTCTTTGCCTTCTCCTTCACACACCCTGCCCCCTACCTCGCACATGCATGCACGCATGTGCAAGCACACAGCCCCTCCTAATTTAGGGCATTGTCTGCCTTCTTCTCACTTTCAATTTCCATCACAATCAGGTGCTCTTCTTTTCGTCAACCATAAGAGCCTTGGTTAGCCCCAGCTGGGGAAGTAGATCCTATCAGAACAGTATACATAGAAATCTGTCCCTTTAGTCAAAGGCAATACCTCTTTCCCTTTTTTTTCCTCCTATATTCATTGTCTGCTGCTCAAATTGCTCACCTGGGTTCTAACTTCTCCACTGCCCAGGACGGTATCTGAATTCCTAACACTGTGCTGCTTCTCTCACCCAGACTATGGAGCCCCCTGTGGTTCAGTCCTTAGTCTGTTTTATTTCCCTCACTATCATCACCTCTTCCAGGATATCACCTACTCATCTGTCATGGCCACATAGGTGATTTTCATTTTTATATATTTATTTGATTGATTGATTGATTTTTGGGGGGCTGCATTGGGTCTTAGTTGCTGCACACGGGATCTTCGTTGAGGCATGCAGGATCTTTCCTTGCGGCGTGCGGGTTTTCTCTCTCTTGTTGAGGCGTGCGAGCTCAGTAATTGTGGCGTGCGGGCTTAATTGCCCCGCGGCATATGGGATCTTAGTTCCCTGACCAGGGATCAAACCCACGTCCCCTGCATTGGAAGGCGGATTCTTTACCACTGGACCACCAGGGAAGTCCCCACATAGGTGATTTTCAAGTCACTTCTCCAATCCCAATCTTTGGAGTTCTACTTTACTTCTCCAGTTGCTTACTGAGCACATGTTCTTGGGTGTGTCATTGTCACCTCAGCTCAGCCTTCTCTAGAGCCCAAATTGTCATTTTCCTTGTCTTTTTTTTTTTTGGCCCTGTTGGGTCTCCATTGCTGCACGCGGGCTTCTCATTGCGGTGGCTTCTCTTGTTGCGGAGCACAGGCTCTAGGTCCACGGGCTCAGTAGTTGTGGCTTGTGGGCTCTGGAGCACAGGCTCAGTAGCTGTGTAGCACGGGCTTAGCTGCTTCACAGCATGTGGGATCTTCCCAGACCAGGGCTCGAACCCTTGTACCCTGCATTGGCAGGCAGATTCTTAACCACTGCGCCACCAGGGAAGTCCCTTTACATCTATTACTGAGCTCACTATACTTCTAGGTCTTTAGATTCAAAACCTTGACGTCCCCCATGCTTTACCCTTCCGTGTGGTCTCAGTCACCAAATTGTGTCCATTTTCTAGTACACTGTCTTTTCCATGTCTTTCTTTCCATTACTTTCCAGGTCCAGGACTTAAACAGCTCATTGAACTCCATGTGGACTAACTTCTCTCTTTGCCTGCAGTCTGGCCTTTTCTTCCCATTTCTCCTGCACCCTGTTGCCACTTTCATAATATTGCTCCCTGTTGATGTGGCCCCATATATACCTATCCATGTCCCCTGTACAAAAACTCATTGGTCTGGTCAAACCAGATCTGTTTTCTAAGCATATACTGTACTTAACTGGCTGTGTGCCTTAGAACATGCTATGCTCTTCCCTTTCCGTGGGATACTGCTCCAACCCCCTTTTCCCCATCCATGCACATCTTACCAGTCTTTTATGATTTAGATCAAACCACCCTTCCTTCTATAAAATCATTTCTGATCATTCTGGCATGTAGTGTCCTCTCCCTTCTCTGACATCACGGGCCTTCTTATGTGGACAACTTAGATGACAGTGTTATATATTCCCTTGCATAGGTATTGTGTATTGTTATCTTGTATCGTTAATCTGATTATCTGATATTATTGTATCCATTCCCCATTATATGCTTCTTGAGGTATGAAACCAAGTGGTATATCCTTTCTGGATATTTGCACTTTGCTTTTGCACATTGTATTGCATGTAGTTATAGTTGATCAATAAATAGTTTTTGGTAAATTGATTTCTTTTTTGTGAAGCTATCTAGAGATTGAAGAGAAGTTCTTAATCCAGGTGACCTGGGACTCAGTAAAAAAAAACTCCCATGTTTATCTACCTAGATCTTTCATGGTTTTATGGTCCATGACAATATATCCTTTTATCTTTCCACAAGGACAAGCTTTCATCTTTTTAAATCTATGTTTTCATGCAGAAGCTGTCACCCTTGATAATTTTATTGCCTTCCCTGGCTGCATTTTTCTTCCTTGTAGTTTAAATCATTACTGCATACAGTATAACAAGTGCAATTAGTTTAACCAGTATTGTAGCCCATTAAACACAAGTTTACTTTTGTGGATGACTCACTTACAGATTATTTCTGACACTCTTATAAAGTTTTTAAAAAGAACCAAGTTGAGGTGAAGGATTGGGAGAAAGCCGGCATTTCATAGTAACATCATTTTTGTGTCAAATGGATTGGATGTAGGGGTTTTGGGTTATGTTGTTTTATACAACTAAAACCTGACTGAATTTTGTTTAAAGAAAAGACTGCAGGATGGTTTTGCCTCGTATAAATTTTTTTAATCAGTTATCTGAAAATGGATTTTATTTATGTTACCTGGTGAAAGCCATTGTGGGTACAAAATTTTTGCAAGGCATTATTTAACTACTGAATTACATAAGCTTTTTAAAAGCTGCTAGATTCCAAGGGGTTTTGAGGGTTGACACATAAAGCAGTCATTATCTAAAACATACGGTGGGAGGACAGCGGCTTACCCAATACTCTTCCCACAAGTAACTCTGCCAGGAGAACATTTCTTTTATTCAATACTTACCATGAACACAGCATTGAGCTGCACTGTGCCATCGACACATCTTTAAGAGACACTCAGGGAATAATGACAGCCTTTATACACATATCTCGGGCATCTTTATGCAAAGCTCATCACCTTTAAGGCGCCCCCTTTTGAAATGCAGCTACCTGTATGAGAGATCATATCATATCATATTGGGCACTGGGTGATTTAGTAAAGTTTAGTCGGCAGCTAGATGGAAATAAGGGTTGGCATGCACCGAGGGGAGGTGGGAGTGTCAGCAGGGAGGAGAGAGGGAGCGGTAACCAAAAACATTGTCCTCTCACTGCCCACTTTTGTCCTGGTAGCCCCATGCATGTCTCCCCAAATAGGCTCTCTGGTCTCCACTTTCTCTCATTCAATACGTGATCTGAAAGGACACAGGAAGCAATGACAAAAGAGGGAAGCGTGCTGACCTCTAATATAGGTATGAGGCATGGTTTTTGACAGTTCATACATTTGCAAAACCAGAAACAAGTGGGCGCCGGTATTACATTTTGAAAAGCTGTGTTCTTCTGCCCCTGAGAATTCAAGACTGGTTGTACTTATATGCACAAGCTACCTTTCTGTTTGAAGGCCTCCATTTACAAGTGTGAATGAGGCAAATACCCACAATGTAGTACAATCTCACATTCTGCTTTGACCTTTTCTATACCTCTTTTGTATTTAATGTTTAGATTGTGAGAATGGTGAAGAATTTAAAAGGCAGCCCAATAACACTGTCGATAGGTGATGGTGCCAATGATGTTAGTATGATCTTGGAATCCCATGTGGGCATAGGTAAGAAACATCTAATGAGATGGCAGCTGTAAGGTATCAGTATTGCTTTTAGGTAGAGTGGTCTTATTATTCTAGAGATTGTTTTGGTTGCTCATCTTGAATCCGAATTTGGGAATGATCATTGTTTATCAAAAGAAGGTCCTCATCGGATCGTGGAATATGTCCATGCCAAAGTCCTACCCATGGTGGGAATGCAGCAATACAAAGTTGGAGGATATTATTATATTAGCCGAGTAAAGTGGATTTCCCAAACCTACTAGCCATGCAGTTGATCATTTAGTTCTCACTTTTGGCAGCATGCATGGAATTTTATTGATTTTTCGCCCCTGGCCAGATCGCCTGCTTATGTTGCTGCACTATATCTTTTGAGATCTGTAACTGTTTGGGACTGAGAGACGATAATTGGCTGGCTGATTCTCCACACGGCAATATCTCTGCATGGCGGTTTGGGCTGTAGTGGTGAATTTACATGTCGGCATGCAACAACAGCTTCTCTAAAACCTGCACCCTTTCTTCCCCTGTCAGGCTGCTGGGAGGCAATCCTAACACCCCAGCAAGTGGTTTTTTGGTGGGCGAGAAATAATGGAAATAGTATCTTGGGGATTATTGTACCACAGTTTGGATTCCCAAATTCTTTCCATTTGCAAGTAACCCTACTTAGTGTGGAACTCTAGTTCAACTCATTGGTTATTGACTGTGGAAATGGCCTAAAGCTGCTTGAGCTCATGGAGTACTAGGACTGCTACTCAGCCTTGCAGGACATTTGGTCTTGTCTAAAACGTCCATAGCACATTTGGTCCATGCAGAAGGTCCTTGAAATTTGGTCCTGTCCAAAACCATTTGGCATGGACCAAACATGCTCGTGGACATTTTGGACCGGACCAGATTTCAAAGACCTTTTGGCATGGACCAGCTGTCTTATAGTCCAAATGTCTTGACGTTTTGGACAGGACCAAATTTCAAGGATCTTTGGTGTGAACCAACTGCCTTATGAACATTTTGGACCGGAGCAAGTGTTTGCCAACCACTACTCAGTATCATTCAATATAAGGACTTAACCATCTCATTATAACTCTTCAGTTTTGAGCTCTTAGACCATAATCCCCAGGTCTCTGAGTTGCTTTAGTATGGCATCTAGTCTGGTGCCATGCATGATTAATCACTTACTAAATAAGTACCTTTAAAATAATTTTCAGATTTAACTATTTCCTCAGGATAATTTTTGCCTTACAACGATTAAAATAATGATTCTATTAATTATTTTATGTTTTGTTATAAATAGGTAATTGTCAATTAAACATAATTTTACTTTTTATTAGTAAGTCTCACTGTCACTGTTGAAAGCACTTTTTGCTTAAGAAAGCAAATCTAAACTATTCAACTGAACTATACATGTAAGCAAGTAAAAAATACGAAAGTAACAAGTCAGGTGGTTACTTACTCTATAAAAATACTCACCCTATAGAGATTTTTCTTTTTTTAGGTATCAAAGGCAAAGAAGGTCGCCAAGCAGCCAGAAATAGTGATTATTCTGTCCCAAAGTTTAAACATTTAAAGAAACTGCTGTTGGCTCACGGACACCTATATTATGTGAGAATAGCACACCTTGTACAGTATTTCTTCTATAAGGTATGTGATGAAATACTTGTGATTTAACTTATGACTATTTAACCCAGCATTGGCTCAGCTTGGTTGTAGGTATCTTTTCCTTCTTTTTTCATGTTTCTTTTACTGTCTTAGTACTGAAATTTGTGGTCAGCAAAACAGAGGCAGTCTATTTAACGAATCAGAAACCAGAAATTCCTTTTAATGCAAGAGATTTGAGATGAAAATTTTTAAGTCAACTTTCTTAAAGTATAGTTTAAATACAGTACAATGTACCCATTAAATGTTTACAGTTCAATTTTGACAAATGTATGCATCCATGTGGCTACCACCTGAACCAAATATAGACGATTTCTATCACCCCAGAAAGTTTACTTGTGCTCCTTTCCAGTCTTCTCCACCCCTGCACCAAACAACGACTAATCTGATTTACATTACTCTGTGATATACAGTAACGTATATGGCGTATAGCACATAAATTTAGATATAATTTATGCAACATACGCATTAGGTTTGCCTGTTTTAGACATGTACCAGAACTTGATCTCCTGTCCTATGTTCTATTCTATATAGTTTTTAAAAGTTTTTTTCACTTTTTGTTTTGAGATAATTTCATACTTTTTAAAAGTTGCAAAATTAGTGAAATCTCATATACTCTTTGCCCAGCTTTGCCAACTGTTAACACCTTAGATAACACACAACATAGTTACCAAGATCAGTAAATTGATGTTAATTGGCACATTATTAACTAGTCTATATACTGTACTGGAATTTTGCTAATGGTCCCACAGATTTTCTTTTTGTGGTCCATTTCAGGCTCATGCTTGATTTAAGGATCATGATCTCCTTAGTCTTCTTTAACCTAGAATAGTTCCTGTCTTTTTTGTCCTAATGATCTTAACATGTTTGAAGAGTGCTGGCCAGTTAGTTTGTAGAATGTCCCTCAATTTGGGTTTGTCTAATGTTTGCCTATTATTAGACTCAGGTTTTGCATTTGGGCACAATTACCACAGAAGCGCTATTGCAACCTGCTGAATGCATCATATCCGGAGGCACATGTTGTCAATATGTCTCATGATAATGTCAACTTTGATAAGCTGGTTCAGATGGTGTTCTGAGGGTCTCAAGACCCCTCATTTTTGCTCTGTGTAGTTTCACTTGAAAAGAGCATTCTCCTGCTAAACTAGATATTTTATTCTATGTTGAAATTCATTACTATCATTGTTCATTCTGTTACTCAAATTGTCACAGATTTGGCGCCTGTTTCCTTTCACCATGTCCCCATCATTTTTAAATTTTTATTTTATTGTGATAACCCTTAACGTGAGCTCTATGCACTTAACAGATTATTAAGTATATGGTACAGTATTGTTAAGTACAACAGATCTCTAGTACTTACTCGTCTTGCACAACTAAAACTGTATACCCATTGAGTAGCAACTCTCCGTTCCTCTCTCCTCACCCCTTCCCCCTCCCCCGGCCCTAACCTTTTTTGAAGTCTTGTTTATTTTCTGGTACCACATGACGTTCTAGGCTCCTCTTGTATTTTTCTTGCAATTCAATGGCAAGATGCATTCAGACTTTTCTGCAAGGATCACTTATTCCTTTCCATTATTCGCAAATGGTATTTAGAAATCAAGATCTGGGTGCTAGTCGTGCTCATCGCTACTGAGCTGAAGTTGTTGGGCTGAAATTAAAGGTATCTGTATAAACTCAATAGTTGAACTCAGTTTATACAGATACCTTTGATTAAATCCGGCAGCACAAGGTTCATTGTAACCTTTCCCTTTTCCATTTAGTAACTCCTTTCTTCAGTGGGGAGAAACCTGGTTCTCATCCTCATAGTGTTTATTTATTTGCTAAGTCCTCAAGTACACTTAAAGTAGTTCCAGAATTGCTACTCATACTCCTGTGAGAAACAAATCTAACTTGAGAAATATATTTGTGAGCACTTGTTTTTGTCTTTAGTCTTAGAGAATGTAGTCAAAACACTGTTTCCAAAGTTACTTTTTTTTTCCTTTTCCACCATTTCAGTGTGGTTATGTTATTTATATAGTTAAGGTTTGTGGGGCCTTGGACTCAGTAACTTAACAGCGCCACGTGGGGATGGATGGTTATTCTCTCTTACCTCCCCTTAGTAGGAGAGCCTGTGAAGATTTGCCATACAGATCTGCCTAGCAATCTGATCCTATTCCAGAAGCTTGGTTTCCCTCTTTAAGATTTTGGCCTGCAATTCAAGCAACTGCCACCAGATGGAAGGAATACTCTGTTAAGAAGAACAAAACAAGCATTAAAATAGCTAATATTTACCAGTGGTCAGTAATTTACATATCCTGGTTCCCAATTTAGGGGATTATTTATGTAGATGCCCTCTGTCTTCATTAGGATCTCTATGCCCATTATCATCTTAGTTACTGACTTAGCAATATTCCTTTTTAAGTGCTGTCTTTTGTCCCAAGATGATTTCTGATACCTTTGACCGTCTTTGGCTGCCTTCCTCTTATCTTGCCATTGCATCTTCAAATTGTTGCCCGCCCCTGGAGTACTGCAGTGACAGGTCTTCCTGCTTTCTATTTCTCCATTCGCTCCTCCTTGCATAATTCAGCCAGGTTAATGTTTAGAAAATACCACTTTTCAACTTGTCCTCCAGAAACTCCACTCTCCATTGTCTTAAGAGTTAGTCTGGCTTTTAAGGCACTCCACAGTCTGACCCTGCCCTACCTTATATGTTTAAAATACATATGGCCTTACCTTGGTTCCTGCTATCACCGTATCCTATTCATCTGTAACACCTAGTTCAAAGTCTAACTTCTTTATTCATTCAATCAACAAATATGTTTGAATGTGTTACCATGTGCCAAGCATCGTTTCAGGCGCTTGAGAATTCATAATAGAGTAAGACAGGCAAAGTCCCTGTTTTCATGGAACTGTTATTCTAATGGGAGGGTCAGACCTCCCCTTCCCACAAAACACCCCCATAATCCACACCAAGCACTGCCTCTTCCAACCTCAGAACACTTCTTTTATGTACATAAATTATGACTCTAGAAAGGCTACAGACAGTATTTTGCATTCTGCCAGAACTGTTACATACGAATGAGTGTTGCCCTTCCAGGTACTAACCTTGGGAGCTCCGATACTCTGGTGCTGTAGGACTTATTCAAAATACATGTAGCAGTTTTCTGTAGAAATGTCCTCCAGAGCCTGCAGTATATATTTACCTAAATATCCTCAGCTGCGGCAGTTGTTCATGCTTTAAGGATCCATTGGATTTTTAAAACGGCCTCAAGTCTCCCAGCCTGGTAAATTAGCCAAGTGAGAATGTGTGAGAGAAGGAAAGAGACTGGTTTTTTGACATGGCTCAAAAATGGGCTATTGGGCGTGAGCCATGGCCGCTGAGCCTGTGCGTCTGGAGCCTGTGCTCCGCATCAGGAGAGGCCACAACAGTGAGAGGCTCGTGTACCGCAAAAAAAAAAAAAAAAAAAAGGGGGGGCTATTGGGGACTTCCCTGCTGGTGCAGTGGTTAAGAATATCTGCCTACAAGAGGGAAGAGATATCGGAACATACGTATATGTATAACTGATTCACTTTGTTATAAAGCAGAAACTAACACACCATTGTAAAGCAATTATACCCCAATAAAGATGTTAAAAAAAACAAAAAGAATATCTGCCTAGCAATGCAGGGGACATGGGTTCAAGCCCTGGTCCGGGAAGATCCCACATGTCGTGGAGCAGCTAAGTCCGTGCGCCGCAACTACTGAGCCTGCGCTCCAGAGCCCACAAGCCACAACTACTGAGCCCACGTGCCACAACTACTGAAGCCTGCGCACCCTAGAGCCCGTGCTCCACAACAAGAGAAGCCACTGCAATGAGAAGGCCGTGGACCGCAACAAAGAGTAGCCCCCGCTCACCGTATCTAGAGAAAGCCCGTGCGCAGCAATGAAGACCCAACGCAGCCAAAAATAAATAAATTTATTTATTTAAAAAAATATAGAGCTATTGAAGGTGCTGCCCTAAGAGAAATCCAGAGACACCATGAACAAGTGACAGCAGCGCTGAAATACAGTCACAGCCTATATTGAAGGACAGCACTCATTTGAAAATATTAGTTCTGGTGGTTTTGCCTGAAGATGTTAATTTTAGTATTTATCTTCTTACCTAGTAGCTTTTTCTGCCTTATGAATTCTTAGCTTGTATTTTTTTAGTATGTTTGTTTTTAGCGTTCTCCCAGTTAAATCCCTTAGAAGTAAGAAGTTTTGTTTTTTGTATCACCCACAGCGTCATCTTTACATATAGTAGGTGATCAATAATAACAGTTAATTGTTTGATGAGGCAGTAACAAAGGCAGTAAAGCATTAGTTGATACTTGTTCGTGTCAATATACACTATAATCTCCTGACTACTTATTGGCATTAACTGACTTTTAAATATAGACTTACAGCTTTATGTCAGTCTACTTTGTGATGATTTTGCAAACCCACTTGGCATTTAAGGTACAGTACCATTAAGTGTTCATATTATATGAGCTCATTTCTTCCCTACAAGAATAGCAAGAGGATCTCATAAAGTAAGTGAGGTCCTCTTCTGCCTTGGTAGGGCAAAAGTTGGTATTAATATGTATGTAATTATTTGTTTTGAATTGTTTCCTTACAACTCTGGAGTAGAAGTTTATTGCATTGTGACATTAGAAGGACTTAGGACTGCCTGTAGACTATCTGGAGTAGAGTTTCCTGTTTTACGTTAGAAAGTTGATCAAGTGAAAAGCATTAACCCTTTTCTTCATTTTTTTTTTCCAGAACCTTTGTTTCATTTTGCCACAATTTTTGTACCAGTTCTTCTGTGGATTCTCACAACAGGTTTGTTTCCCTAGGTATTTCTTGTAATGTAGTTTTTTTGTTTGTTTTTTGTTGTTGTTGTTTTTTGTTTAAATTTATTTTATTGAAGTATAGTTGATTTTCAAGGTTGTGTTAGTTTCTGGTGTAGAGCAAGGTGATTCAGCAATACATACATATAATAGTTTTCACAGAAATGTTAGGGTTTTTTTAAAATTATTTTTTATTGTATTTTATTTTAATTTATTTTTTATGTCAATCCCACTGTCCCAATTCATCCCACCACCACCACCACCACCCCCCACCACGACTTTCCCCCCTTGGTGTCCATACGTTAGTTCTCTGCATCTGTGTCTCTATTTCTGCCTTGCAAACTGGTCCATCCGTACCATTTCTCTAGATTCCACATATATGCATTAATATATGATATTTGTTTTTCTCTTTCTGACTTACTTCACTCTGTATGACAGCCTCTAGGTCCATCCACGTCTCTACAAATGACTCATTTCGTTCCTTTTTATGGCTAAGTAATACTCCATTGTATATACGTACCACATCTTCTTTATCCATTTGTCTGTCGATGGGCATTTACATTGCTTCCATGACCTGATTATTGTAAATAGAGCTGCAATGAACATTGGGGTGCATGTGTCTTTTTGAATTATGGTTTTCTCTGGGTATATGCCCAGTACTGGGATTGCTGGGTTGTATGGTAATTCTATTTTTAGTTTTTTAAGGAACCTCCATACTGTTCTCCATAGTGGCTGTATCAATTTACATTCCCACCAACAGTACAAGAGGGTTCTCTTTTCTCCACACCCTCTCTAGCATTTGTTGTTTGTAGGTTTTCTGATGATGCCCATTCTAACCGGTATGAGGTGGTACCTGATTATAGTTTTGATTTGCATTTCTCTAATAATTAGTGATGTTGAGCAGCTTTTCAAGTGCTTCTTGGCCATCTGTATGTCTTCTTTGGAGAAATGTCTATTTAGGTCTTCTGCCCATTGTTTGGTTGGGTTGTTTGTTTTTTTAATATTGAGCTGCATGAGCTGTTTATGTATTTTGGAGATTAATCCTTTGTCAGTTGATTCGTTTGGAAATATTTTCTCCCATTCTGAGGGTTGTCTTTTCGTCTTGTTTGTAGTTTCCTTTGCTGTGCAAAAGGTTTTAAGTTTCATTAGGTCCCATTTGTTTATTTGTATTATTATTTCCATTACTCTAGGAGGTGGATCAAAAAAGATCTTGCTGTGATTTACGTCAAAGAGTATTCTTCCTGTGTTTTCCTCTAATAGTTTTACAATGTCCGGTCTTACATTTAGGTCTTGAATCCATTTTGAGTTTATTTTTGTGTAAGGTGTTAGGGAGTGTTCTAGTTTCATTCTTTTACATGTAACTGTCCAGTTTTCCCAGCACCACTTATTGAAGAGACTGTCTTTTCTCCATTGTATATCCTTGCCTCCTTTTTCATAGATTAGTTGACCATAGGTGCGTGGGTTTATCTCTGGGCTTTCTATCCTGTTCCATTGATCTCTATTTCTGTTTTTGTGCCAGTGCCATATTGTCTTGATTACTGTAGCTTTTTTTATATATATAAATTTAATTTAATTTATTTTATTTTTTATTTTATTTTATTTTTGGCTGTGTTGGGCCTTCGTTGCTGCGTGCGGGCTTTCTCTGTTGTGGTGAGCGGGGGCTACTCTTTGTTGTGGTGCACAGGCTTCTCATTGTGATGGCTTCTCTTATTGTGGAGCACAGGCTCTAGGCGCACAGGCTTCAGTAGTTGTGGCTCTCAGGCTCTAGAGTGCAGGCTTAGTAGTTGGGGTGGATGGGCTTAGTTGCTCCGCGGCATGTGGGATCTTCCCAGACCAGGCCTCGAACCCATGTTCCCGGCACTGACAGGCAGATTCGTAACCACTGCACCACCAGGGAAGGCCCTGATTACTATAGCTTTGTAGTAGAGTCTGAAGTCAGGGAGTCTGATTCCTCCAGCTCTGTTTTTTTCCGTCAAGACTGCTTTGGCTGTTTGGGGTCTTTTGTGTCTCCATACAAATTTTAAGATTTTTTCTTCCAGTTCTGTAGAAAATGCCACTGGTAATTTGATAGGGATTGCATTGGATCTGTAGATTGCTTTAAGTAGTATAGTCATTTTCACAATGTTGATCCTTCCAATCCAAGAACATGATGTGTCTCTCCATCTGTTTGTGTCGTCTTTGATTTCTTTCAACAGTGTCTTATAGTTTTCTGAGTACAGGTCTTTTACCTCCTTAGGTAGGTTTCCTCCTCAGTATTTTATTCTTTTTGTTGCAATGGTGAATGGGATTGGTTCCTTAATTTCTCTTTGTGATCTTTCATTTTTAGTGTATAGGAATGCAAGAGATTTCTGTGCATCAACTTTGTATCCTGCAACTTTATGAAATTCATTGATTAGCTCTAGTAGTTTTCTGGTAGCATCTTTAGGATTCTCTATGTATAGTATCATGTCATCTGCAAACAGTGACAGTTTTACTTCTTTTCCAATTTGTATTCCTTTTTTTTCTTTTTCTTCTCTGATTGCCGTGGCTAGGACTTCCAAAACTATGTTGAATAATAGTGGCGAGAGTGGACATCCTTGTCTTGTTCCTGATCTTAGAGGAAATGCTTTCGGTTTTTCACCATTGAGAATGATGTTTGCTGTGTTTGTCATATATGGCCTTTATTATGTTGAGGTAGGTTCCCTCTGTGCCCACTTTGTGGAGAGTTTTTATCATAAATGGGTGTTGAATTTTCTCAAAAGCTTTTTCTGCATCTGTTGAGATGATCATATGGTTTTTATTCTTCAGTTTGTTAATATGGTGTATCACACTGATTGGTTTGCATGTACTGAAGAATCCTTGCATCCCTGGGATAAATCCCACTTGTTCATGATGTATGATCCTTTTAATGTGTTGTTGGATTCTGTTTGCTAGTATTTTGTTGAGGATTTCTGCATCTGTATTCATCAGTGATATTGGTCTGTAATTTTCTTGTTTTGTAGTATTTTTGTCTGGTTTTGGTATCAGGGTGATGGTGGCCTCATAGAATGAGTTTGGGAGTGTTCCCTCCTCTTCAATTTTTTGGAAGAGTTTGAGAAGGATGGGTGTTAGCTCTTCTCTAAATATTTGATAGAATTCACCTGTGAAGCCATCTGGTCCTGGACTTTTGTTTGTTGGAAGATGTTTAATCACAGTTTCAATTTCATTACTTGTGATTGGTCTGCTCATATTTTCTGTTTCTCACTGCTTCAGTCTTGGAAGGTTATGCCGTTCTAAGAATTTGTCTATTTCTTCCAGGTTGTCCATTTTATTGGCATAGAGCTGCTTGTAGTAGTCTCTCATGATGCTTTGTATTTCTGCAGTGTCTGCTGTAACTTCTCCTTTTTCATTTCTAATTTTATTGACTTGAGTCCTCTCCCTCTTTTTCTTGATGAGTCTGGCTAAAGGTTTATCAATTTTGTTTATCTTCTCAAAGAACCCACTTTCAGTTTTATTGCTCTTTGCTATTGTTTTCTTTGTTTCTATTTCATTTATTTCTGCTGTGATCTTTATGATTTCTTTACTTCTACTAACTTTGGGTTTTGTTTGTTCTTCTTTCTCTAGTCCCTTTAGGTGTAGGGTTAGATTGTTCATTTGAGATTTTTCTTGTTTCTTGAGGTAGGATCTTACTGCTATAAACTTCCCTCTTGGAACTGCTTTTGCTGCATCCCATAAGTTTTGGATCGTCGTGTTTTCATTGTCATTTGTCTCTAGGTATTTTTTGATTCCCTCTTTGATTTCTCCAGTGCTCTCTTGGTTATTTAGTAACGTATTGTTTAGCCTCCATGTGTTTGTGTTTTTTACGTTTTTTTCACTGTAATTGATTTCTAATCTCATAGTGTTGTGGTCAGAAAAGATACTTGATATGATTTCAGTTTCCTTAAATTTACCAAGACTTGATTTGTGACCAAGATGTGATCTGTCCTGGAGAATGTTCCGTGTGCACTTGAGAAGAAAGTGTAATCTGCTGTTTTTGGATGGAATGTCCTATAAATATTAATTAAATCTATCAGGTCTCTTGTGTCATTTAAAGGTTGTGTTTCCTTATTAATTTTCTGTCTGGATGATCTGTCCATTGGTGTAAGTGAGGTGTTAAAGTCCCCCACTATTATTGTGTTACTGTCAGTTTCCTCTTTTATAGCTTAGCAGTCGCCTTTTGTATTGAGGTGCTCCTGCGTTGGGTGCATATATATTTATAATTGTTATATCTTCTTTTTGGATTGATCCCTTGATCATTATGTAGTGTCCTTCCTTGCCTCTTGTAACAGTCTTTATTTTAAAGTCTACTTTAGGGACTTCCTTGGTGGCACAGAGGTTTAGAATCCGCCTGCCAATGCAGGGGACACGGGTTCAAGCCCTGGTCCGGGAAGATCCCACATGCCGCAGAGCAACTAAGTCCGTGCGCTACAACTACTGAGCCTGTGCTCTAGAGCCCGTGAGCCACAACTGCTGAGCCCACTCGCCTAGAGCCCGTGCTCTGCAACAAGAGAAGCCACTGCAATGAGAAGCCCGCACACAGCAACAAAGAGTAGCCCCTGCTCTCTGTAACTAAAGAAAGCCTGTGCACAGCAACAAAGACCCAACACAGCCAAAAATAGTAAATAAATAAATGAATTTTAATTTTAAAAAAGTTAATAAAAAATAAAGTATTTTTTCTGATATGAGTATTGCTACTCCAGCTTTCTTTTGATTTCCATTTGCATGGAATACCTTTTTCCATCCCTTCACTTTCAGTCTGTATGTGTCCCTAGGTCTGAACTGGGTCTCTTGTAGACACCATATATATGGGTCTTGTTTTTGTATCCATTCCGCAAGCCTGTGTCTTTTGGTTGGAGCATTTAATCCATTCACATTTAAGGTAATTATCGATATGTATGTTCCTATTACCATTTCCTTAATTGTTATGGGTTTGTTTTTGTAGGTCCTTTTCTTCTCTTGTGTTTCCCACTTAGAGAAGTTCCTTTAGCATTTGTT